CGGGCCCCGGGTACAGGCTGTGGCGGCGGCTGCCAAGCTGGTAAATCCGTGGCAGTGCAGGCTGGGACCAGGAGCTGGCTGAGCTGCTGCCTCGCTCACAAGCTTTCGGAGCTGCTCTCGTTTTCGCTAACCACATTCCACTGAATGCTGTTCAGGAGAGGCTGGTACTAAGGCCCAGCAAACTATTAGATATTAATCTTATGATTACTTAATTCACCTCTGCTTTATATGTCAAAAGACAGAAGTGATACCAGTATCTGGCAGTGGAATACAAAGGCAGCTCCTCAGTAACCACTGCACTGAACTTTCTGGATTATGTGGCAACTGCAACAGCCTTTCATACAAACAGGAGGCAAAGATTATTTTTCTTACTTGTCAAAGGAGAAATTGGCTTTTACTCAAAGACCAGTCCCTTTAATGTCGAGCACGTAAATTCTGCAAAGCTTGTGGATAAACAAATTAAACAAAATGCAGATCTCTACCTCAAGCAGAAAAAACATGAATTAACAGTCAAAGTAGATCCATGTGATTCTGTAACACAGTTACCGTATTAACTAACAAATTTTTAAAATTATACTCTCTAGCTGAACCCATTGTGAGGAAGGAACTTCATAACATGCCTGATGGGTCCGTGTTCATCTACTGCCTAGTAGGAGACAGAGCCTAGTAAGTAGCTGTTCTGATGCCAACAACTGATAAAACTTTGCTGTTTGTGGACTGGAGGTTAACTAACCTGTTCGCACAACTGACTGAACTGTCCTTTTCTGCAAGGAACTAAGCATTGTTTTGAGGTCCACACCATCCCTAATGTGAACTATCTGAATGCTTATGAGAAGTGGGTTGGGGAGGTTTGAGGCAAAGCCCTTTCAATCATCCTTTTAAAGGAATTTTAACAGGCTAACTGCAAATTGCACTGCTACAAGCTGTGCTTAATACCTTCTTCCTCAACAGCTGGAAAGATCCCAACAATGAATTCAGGAAGAATCTGAAACTAACAGGAGTGCCTACACTACTTAAATATGGAACAGTAAGTGGTTTATTTTATGTTCTGGATCTGCAGGCATTCAAATGGGAAACTGGCAGGAACTTATGACTGTAAATTAACTATTCAGGCATGTTTTCAAAAAGAACAGACCATTAGGAACAGCTCTTCTACTCCCACCCATGCACTCTTCCTGTTTCAAACAGTTCCTCAAGAAAGAACTACTCTGCTTTCTGTGTAAGGTTGTCTGTAATAAACATAGTAAACAGAAAATAGCTCAAGTTTTAACATGTGTGTATTATCTAAATTAGTAGCTACTTTCATAGAAGTGCCTCTTCCAAGGCCAGAAAAACCTCAAGAATTTTTTGATTATTCTTACCTTGCTTGCTCCATCCCAACCCCCACGCTCCCCAGAAAATTAGTATGTACAGATGGCTCCTAAAACATCTTAACTTTTCTTTCAGCCTCAGAAACTGGTTGAAGAAGAATGCTTTAAAGCAGAGCTTGTGCGTATGTTGTTTACCGAAGACTAAATCCTCCACTAGTCAATCATTTACCAGATATGTTAATTTCAAGTTATTTGCAGTGTCCTTTCAAAAATTCCTTAAGTCTTTTTTAAAATTTTCCTGGTTAATTGCTTTTGACTAGTCAAGATAAATGTTGTTAAATTATAGGTCCAAATCTTCCACTGAAATTCTGCAACGAAAAACTGTATCTTTCTTTTCATGTTCAAATAAACTTGTGTTTGCAGTCTGTTTTCAAAGGAACTGGGCTCATGTTATAAACCAAGAGAGCAGCCTACAATTATTGAAGAGTAAGACTAAGTGCAGAGTTATACCTTTAACAGTGAATAAGGGGGGCAAGGATATAGGAGGAATAGACAAACCTGCTTATTCTTCCTAAATCTGACTTTACCTAACTACTAAAGCTGTTAAGATAAATGTTCAGTGTTAAGACTGACAGTTCTGGTGTCACTGATCATGTTAAAAGTTAACAGCTGCAGTACCTGCTCCTACAAGGATATGAAATATTACATAAATGCAGCACAAATACAATCTAATATACAAAAATTAAATTGACAGCTGCTAATATCTGTGTTCTTACAATAAAAAACTACAGGAATAAACGGCAGATGTTTACACGTTCTGTTGTAACACGCAGTTTTCACTACATGTACTGTAGGGAAGCCTAAGAGCAGCCACTGTTTCCTTGGCAGAAAACCACGATCAAAGTAAGTTGGTTTTAATGGAAAAGGTACAGCTACAGCCTATTTCCTTTTGTTGAGTTATCTGCAAAGTTCATCACTTATTCTCTGGTCTGCTGCTGCAGTCCATGTCTCATCACACTTTAATTTCTACCTCTATAACATGTTCTAAGGGAAGCTGTAACACCAACTGCAACAATGGTTACCATGTAAACAGAAGCTACAAGAAATAGCTCAGCTTGGTTTCAAGGCAAATATCTACAATTTATATTTTGTACCGTATCAGCACTTCAGCTTTGTTCATACTGCAGTTGTAGATGAGGGAGTTCACAGCCACACTGAGACACACCATTATTCTCCAGGGAACATGCTTCCTAAGATACTTACATCTCGGTGCCTTCAAAACTAGGTTTGGTTTTCAAAATAAAGAGAAATCAATAACTACAGTAAGTAATGCTCTTACAGAATTGTCCAAAACAAAATGCACAAGTAGGTGTTTATCAGTCTTCTCTCTTTAAAAAGTTGATGAAAGAAAAAAAACAACCCCAAACCAGTCCCCAGATAAATAAAAAAATAAACATACACAAAGCCAAAGCTATGAAAAGGTTCATTCTTCTCTTTTAAATACTTAAGCTGACATGAAGTACAACTGATCACTCATCAAGCATTTTTCATTTTACAGAAGTGTTGTTTTGTTGCTGCTGCTCTGCAAGTGCCTGCTGGAGGCGCATTCTTTTCCGTGAATAGTGCTGCCAGTGAAGAATCTGCTGCTCATCAATAAATTTAGCACACTGAGCATTTACCAGTTCTTTGCGAAAATGTTCATATTGGAGCAGCTCTAACATATGCAAACACTGAGGATACCTGGATTAAAAATAAATATATTTTAATACAAATTTTTACAAGGTCCACTAAAGCTGGAATCTTCCAATAATTCTGCAGTCTATGATGTTAGTTTTATTATGTACGTGCTTTACTCAAGGATCAAAACATTTAAGACTGTACATATTCCACACACCGTAACTGTAAAAGTTCAGGATTAGGGTAGGAAACAAGGAGTTCCAGTAGCAGTTTACAACAGTTTATAAATAGAGATACTTGCCTAGACCAGCTTTTCTAATGGCTACATTTTACTAAAGCAAATGTATAATAACCACAATATCTGTTTTGAGAGCTCATTTAAAAAGTATAACCAAGAATTGTTTTCCGAAAATTTGAAAGAGTTTGCACACTCACCAAAATGCAAAGTCATCCTCTGCTTTGTGTAATCAGCAATGCAAATCACTCTTAAAACATACTTACTGGGCCTAACTGAAGTAGTTTTGTACCATAATGTTCAACAGTTTAATTTTAAACAAATAGTAAAATGCAAATATAGGCTGAAAAATGAAGATTCCATACATGACTCATGAAATACATGTTTTGTATCTTGTCTATTCTTGCTACATCTGAACTACTGGAAACAGTAAAAATTAGGTGGCCTAGAAACACAGTGGGCAAGCCTATAAGGTTACAGGCAGAAATTAGATACTGACATGCTGCTGTGCAGTACAGAAGGTAAACATAAAATCTTCAAAATGCAGAAACCAAAGTGATCTTAACACTTACTTCAGGTATTTTGCATATTCAGGTTCTTTCCAATAAAGTAAATACTTCAGATAGTTCACAAAAGCTTTGTCTTTGAAGTAGCCTCTTTGTGCAAGAACTGAAATGAAATTAAAAATAAGAAATTGTCAGTTACAGATGTGTGAAAAAAATGTGCTAAACTTGAATACATATTTTTAAAATTTTACAAGGGTGCACGTTAGTAAAAACTGTAATTGCAATCAAATTTTGACCATTCAAAAAGAAAAAAACACTATCTTTTAAATCAACACACAAGGCATAATAAACTAGTCTCATCTCCCTTACAGTATGTATCTTTCATAAAACAGCAAAGACTACAAGGGATTTTTGAAACGGGAGACTTTGACTGTAGCATCAAAACTGGAGGGTATTAAGTACAGTACCTGAAAGTATTACTACCATTAGTAACATTGTTTTCATATAAAGGAATACTGTTAACTTGGCATTACTTTTTAACTACTGATTTGAACTTTTTTCTCCACCAGACAGATGCATTTTCTTTTTCAACTAATAAAACATTTTGAATTTAAAAACCCTGCCTGTCAGAAATCTAGACAAATTCAATTATTTACAGACTACCTTTATGCTATGAAAGATACATTCCTTTTTCTTTGTTTAGCCCTCTCTCTCCCCATTTAACTTTACCAGTAATAATAAACACCATGAAACTATATTAATTACTTAGGATCCTGATAATTACTTCCAGGTACTCACAGTTGAGGTAATTTGGATTTGCCAGACACTGAACAAACTCTAACTCCAGCTGGAACCGAAGTCGATTTCCTGTATCATCTAATTCATGAGAAGAACAGTACAAATTGGACCCACATAATAGATTTCAGAGTAATTTTTTTCAGTTTGAACCATATAAATAGAGAAAGTGTGTTTAAACAGGATAAAAAGCAGTAACTCCCCATAGTTTTGGGTTTTTTTCTCCTTCTTCAGTGTGAAAAACTCCTCTCTTTGCTGGTGGTGTAAACAATGTTATTTAAAACAGGCTGATTATTACAGATTTTTTCCTCACCTATTTTCATCATATCACGTATGTTTATATTAATTTTGAAAACCAGTAAGTACTGGAGAGTATAAGCTCTAGGTGATCCTGACAGGGAAGAAAAAAAAAAAAAAAGGAAAAAAAAAAAAGGTGTAACAGGGTAATTCTGTATTTTAAATTATTTTTTAGTTATTTTCTCATCTGTTTAAAATAGGCCACGATGGCTTTAGTGCTTTTAATTTCTGTAGCATCAACAAAGACTAAATAAAATACTTTAACCAAGATTATTTATATAAAACTTTTAAATTTTTTTACATCAATATTAGGTGATAGTAATTTGTTACATTCTATTTGCCATTATATTTTAGTTACAAGTTTCTGATTTCTTAGTGACTCCATCTCACACCTCAGAGCATTTCCATGCTATAGAGAAACGGCCACATCCTTAAACCAGAAACTTGAGCAGAGAATACAAGGGCAGCACAATTTGAGCACACGCCTAACGGTATGGAGAACACATTGGCCTTAACCTTCACAACTCAGCAAACCCCACTGGCGGGAGTTGGGCTCTCAGAGGTGCCCTGACCCTGGGGTGAGAGGCCGACCGCCTGGTCCCCGGACAGGCCTTCACAGAACGGACATGCTTCTGAAAAGGCCGCGTCTAAAGACGCCTGCCTTCTTCCAAAAGCAATCCAGGCACAGCAGCTGCTCCAGGGCTCGTGGAGAACTGCGAAAACCAATGCTCTGCACAGGAACAAGGACAGACCGGGGCTGACTGAAGACCTTATTTTCCCAGATAGGCAGCAGGCTCCTGAATTAAGGGCAAATGTTAAAAAGGAAGTTGGCCTGTCATCCACGGTGAAAGCTATTTAAGAATTCGGGGAAAGAGGGATTTCGCTGTACAACCGCGGGTGCGGCCTCGGATGCCCTCCCGCCACCTTCCCTCACACGACCTCGAGTACTTCCAGGATCGCCGCGGCAACGGAGCCAGCAGGGGCCGGAGCCGGTCTGACCTGAGCGGAAACGCGAAGGCCG